TTTGGGTTGTGCACCACGCCAAACCCAGAAGTACCCGAATGGGTTACTTCCAGGTTTCGGCACTCGCCCATGCGCAGAAGCACTAAATTGCACTTTGCGCATGCGCCAAAGCGCAACCCGCGCATGCATAGATGTGGCGCTGCAGGTTGCAAACATGCCTCCCACACGGATCACGTTCGCAACCTGAGCGTCCACTGTACAGTTCTTCTGCCAAGTAATGTGTACAAAACTGCATATTATGCTAGGTGAAGTGTACAGGAAAATGCATATATTAGTGAAAATTGAGGAAAACTGGTTTACAAAAATGTGTATTTGGCAAAATTGCACAGAAGAATGTGTATCTTAGGAGAATTCATCTTAAAACACTGAAGGCTTTGCACAGGAAAATAAAATGGTGTGGAAATGTGGAGAACGGAACGAAAGCTGATAACTGATAGATTTGCTCATTCGTATTTCTAAGATTTCCTTTCTCTACCATCCTCCTTGGTTTCCATGCAGAGCATGGGGTGGATGGCAGGACATAGCCCACCTGCTCAAATGCATGGAATTTTTGATCACCTATGGCTACCATGCTTACATACAAGACTGGGGAGAAACTGCATGTCAGTTAAATCCTGTGGGCATTTCGCCTCACTCTATTACATGGGCAGGGCCTGCTGACTGACTTCCCTGTTCATTCTAAAGTGTACTGCTGCCTCTGAGCTCAGAGATCGACTGCTTTGTTATCAAAGCCTTGCAGCAGAACATGGGCAAGAATCCAACAGGGTAAGCAAAATAATTAGGAAATCAAAGTACTACAATTTCCTGCCACTGTAACTTTAATAAGGCCTCAGGTTTGTGCAAACATAGCTGTGTTTAAGCTTGGAGTGAGGGCTGGAGCTAATTACACTCTCAAAGCTTAGGCCAAGGAGGTCTTGTTTCCACTGTGGACTGGGTAGGGCGCATTGGAAATGAACCCAGCTTCACGTTGAATTGATGTTCCATTTGCTGGGAGCAGTTTCTTTCCTCCTACGTCCATCCCACGCCGCCTGGCTTAGTTGCCGTTGCAAACTACCTTGAACAGGAAATGCCTTATAATTTGTATCCATAAAGCAGGGAAGTGAATTGGAAGGAGTCTGAATTGAGCAAAAGACTGGACTTTGACGCAAGCTTGGAAGACAGACCAATGGGGTCAATTCATATCCAGGAGGAAAAGAGATGTTTCAAAGAGCCAGACATGGATAAATATAGTTGTTGGCTTTTGGGCTATATAAGCTTTGAGTGGTTTAATTAAAATCAGGAGCTGCAGTTAAAGTAATGAGAAGCTTAATTTAAAAGGTGCCATATCAATAATGATTATAAAGTTTTTTTCAGGTCTGTCCAGGCAACATGATTAAGGTTATACGATAGGGTTAGGGTAAACTGAAATGGGAACAGAAATTGCCAATGTTCACTTATTTGTCCCATGTTCAGAATGAAAATCAATCCAGCGAATATGATTGATATTTGTTGCTTTCAGTCTACAAATGATACGTACTTGATTACATTTTTCACCATTTGCATTGCTACCGGTGATCTGGAGGAGAGCTTAGCATAATACATGTTTGGTGGCATGAAGATGAATATATTTCCCTCTGCATAATATTCACTTTATTCAATTTATATTCCTCCCAAAGGAGCCCAGGGTGGAATAGACATATTAGGGATTTGCATATTCTGTAGTGATGTAGCCAACTTTTGCAAGTCCTTGGCTTTATCCGAAGCAAGCATTGTCATCTGAGCTGAAGAAGAAACCTCTGCTCCCTGAAAAATAGGAAAGACGTTCTAATAGATGCACATGTAGAAATAAGTAATATAATTTAAATACCAGTATAATACATCTTGCTATATAGGGGAAAGACTATGGGCCAGGTGACCTGTGTGCCAGCTCAGTCGGCTGTCCAGGTGCTGCTAGCTGTAGATGGGCAACTTCAAAGCCTGTGTACTCATTCCTCCTTAGGATTTTTAAAACCTTTAAACAAGACTTAGATTGGACAGCCTTTCAAATAAAGCAGGGGAACCTCAAGCCCAGAGACAAAGGTCCTCTCTGTATGGCCCTTTGGATTCTCCCTAGTCCTAACCTCCCCAGGACACACCTGTCAGCGACCCTACTCAAATGTTTTGGCCCAACTGGAATGCAGTTTTGCTTGCCTGGGTGGAGAGGTGTGTGCTTAGAAACCTCTTAACTTTTGCATGACTGGAATGTTGCCTATTTTACAAAAGGTAAAACTCGCATCCATTTCTCCACCCATATTTTGCCTCTTTCCTCACCCACTGCTGGAATGCAGCCTTCAGGTTGGAAAATGTTCCTTGCCACTGAAATAAAGGACTATCCTTTGCAAAGTAGGATGCATAACTACCATACTCACTTCCACCCCCACCCATCCCTCTACCTGGCTCTAGCAGCTGCTGCTCCCACCACCACCATCCCTAAAACTGCCATAGAAGCAGCAAAAATAAGGAAATAAGGAAAGTCCACAGCCAGGTACCGGTAATAGAGGGGATAGATCTGTCACGGAAGGATCTCCCAGATGATACAGGTTGGGGTCCATATGATGGGTGGATTGAGTGAGGAATTCAGATTTGATTGCACTTCTGATAATGAAAAGGGTTCATAGCTGGGCCTGTGGAAACCAAGCTATTTCTTGACCCTTATTCTTATTTTGATAAATAGCTTCTTTGGTTGGGTTCAATTCCACATCAATTTTAACAGGGCTAGTCCATCATTAATTCTTTCTACTAGGGCTGGATGAATCTGTCATTTTGTATTTCTCTCTGTTTCTCGTTTTCCCAGTCGTCAGTTTTCCACATTTCCACAGTAGATTGTGATTTTTTTTTTAAAGTCCTTGTGAAAATTTATCAGCATCTTTGTGTAAATTTATCTAATATACATATTTTATAAGCAATTTTTCTTGATAGATGATAGATAGATAGATGATAGATAGATAGATAGATAGATGATAGATAAATTTATTGTCATTGTCCGTATATACACAGTATACACAACAACGAAAATCAAACACCCACCCAAAGACCGGGTTCACATACACATTTGCACGTATCTCCAACACTCTCATCCTATTCAGACATAATCTATAAAAACATAACATAATCCAGAATATAACATAACCTATTAAAGGCATAACATAACCTAAAACCTATCTCATTCCTTCCTACTCCCTGCTTGCTATTTCTTGCAACTGGCCCTGAGATCATTATTTAGTGCAATCAGAGCTCTTGGATAGAAACTATTCAGAAGGCGTGTGGTTCGTGTTTTCATTGTCCTATATCTTCTGCCCGAAGGCAACAGTTCAAAGAAGTTGTGAGCAGGATGGGTGGGATCTCTCAGGATATTGTGTGACTTCTTCAAAGTGCGAGACGTGAAGATCTCATCCAGGGTTGGTAGTTGGAGCCCAATAACATTCTGGGCAATTTTAATTATTCTCTGTAAAGCTTTTTTATCCGTTTCAGAGCTGCTCCCATACCACGATAATATACTATAGGTTAAGACACTCTCGATGGTACTGTGATAATAGGACAGAAGTAGGTGCTGAGATAGATTCAGTCCCCTGAGCATTCTCAGGAAATACAACCTCCCCTGCACCTTCCTCACAACCATATTAATATTTGCAGTCCATGAGAGGTCCTCAGAGATATAAATGCCCAGGTATTTAAAACTACCAACCCTCTCCACCTCCTCGCCATTTATGTGCAATGGTAAAAATACACTTTTCTTTCTCCTAAAGTCAATTATGAGTTCTTTGGTTTTTTTGGTGTTAAGCATAAGATTGTTTTCTTTACACCATTGAATTAACCCCTGTACTTCTTTCCTATAAGCAGTCTCATCGTTCTCACTAATGAGCCCCACCACTGTTGTATCATCCGCAAATTTGATGATTGTGTTGGACTTATACAGTGGGGTGCAATCAAATGTGTACAGGGAATAGAGAAAGGGACTTAGCACACATCCCTGAGGGGCTCCTGTGCTTAATACTAGAGTAGAAGAATAGTAAGGTCCCATTCTCACTGTCTGCGGCCTATCGGTCAGGAAATTCCTTACCCACAGACAGATCTTCTGATGTATACCCAAATTGGTCATTTTAAGAAATAACCTGTCTGGCAGAATTGTATTGAAGGCAGAACTGTAGTCCACAAACAACAGCCTTGCGTAGGTTCCCTGTCGTTCTAGATGACTCAGTACAGTATGGACAGCGATGGAAATAGCATCATCAGTAGATCTGTTTCTTCTGTATGCAAACTGGAACGGGTCTAGAGTGGATGGAAGACCAGCCTTAATATGATCTAGCACCAATCTCTCAAAACATTTCATAACGACAGATGTTAGGGCTATTGGTCTATAGTCATTGAGAGATACCACCACTGACTGCTTGGGGACTGGCACTATAATCGATGTCTTCAGGCAGGTAGGGACAGAACCCTGCAACAGGGATAGGTTAAAAATGTCCGTAAATACACCAGCTAGTTCTGCAGCGCAGTCCCTAATAACACACATTTTTGCAAGCAGGCTGTCTCATTTTTATATATTTAAATATTATATATTTTCACTAATATAAGTGTTTTATAGTCATTTCCCTACAATATACACATCTTCATACACATTATTTAGATGGAGACCTGTGTTTGAGGTGCCATCTCTCCCTTGGACTAGCACTCGTTTGGCCTCAACCCCAGAGGCTGAATTCACTTATGATGCAAATGACTCCTCCTCAGCTTCATCTAAGGATCCTGGCTCCTTGCCATCCAATAGAGCCTGATTTTGTGTTTTTTTGTAATGCTGGACCTCAGGTCATCTCTGATGAGGAATCCCCTGGCTGAGACATGACAATGAGGAACACTTAGGATAATCTCTTAGGACCCAGAAAAGGAACACCTGTCAACCTAAATGAAATTGGACAGCAGCAGTTTCTCTCTGGTGAGGTATTTGCTTTCCGTTTCATCCCATGATGTTTGGTTCTTTCCAGCTTTGAAAGATTCCAGTAAGAAATCCATTAACAGTGATTGGAAAATCGAACTTCCTGGTGAATTTCAGATTGCAGGAACCACTGTTCGGTATGTGAGAAGAGGTCTATGGGAGAAAATCTCAGCCAAAGGACCAACTAAAATACCACTCCACTTGATGGTAATTTGATGCTTTTTCATTGTCTGCTTTCAGTGTTTCATCATGGTAGAATTGTTTTTTTGGTGTTCAGTATTAACTACTTCCTTCTTCAGTTACAAGAGTAACTGACATGCAGGCATCAAAGACAGATAGAAGCCTCCAAACTAGTGTGGTGTAGTTTGTAACATATTTGAACTGGAAAAGGAGGATCTGGGTTCTAATTCTCTGGATAGGCCATGAAACTGGGTAACACTGAGCAATTAGTAATGTACTTGAGCAAAGGGTAATGTACTTGTCTGGGCTGTTGTGAGGTTAAAATGGGATAAGCCCATCTTGAACACCATGATCTCCTTGCAAGAAGGGTGCAATAGAAACTTAGTAGGCAGGGTTAGTTCCAAAACTAAACCATAGATACTGGGGAGGGGGCATTTATGTGAACTGTTATATCAAACTTAAGCTTCTTTTAATGGAAGATGTCTGCAAAGGAAAAGCAGAACACCCAAAAGAGTTCTGAAAATTAATGATAAGCCAGTAATGATAGCTTTAATATGAGAGATGTGAGCTGATTGTAATTTATATTCCAGAAAAAGCAAAACAGACGGTTATATTTATGTCTGGGACTTTAATTATGTGTTTTTCATGATTTGATATTATTATTATTATTATTATTATTATTATTATTATTATTATTATTTGTTTTTAATATGTGGCTTTTATTGTTTGCAACTTCAGTAACCTGTCTGAAAAGCAGCTTAAATTGAAAATAATCATAATAAATAGGAAGAATAGCCAACATTGTTTAAACCAGTCTTTTAAACTTGTTGCCTTCCAGATGTTTTGGACTGCAACTACTACCATTCCTGATCATTGGTCATGCCAGTTGGGGCTAATGGGAGTTGTAGTCAAAAACACTTGGAAAGTGCCACTGGTTTCCAAACTTTCTGACTTCAAGGAACCCTTTCCACATTCATTTGCCTGGTGAGCATATGCCACAGAAATCCAGTGTATCATGGAAAGATTCTGAAGCATATGAACATATGGTTCATGCGAGACACTCACTAGGCCTTTTTGCCTTATCTCTGCCCCACAAGGGACCACAGTCCAACATGTCCCCACAGTCCTCTGCAGTTGCACATTGCAGAGGAAGATAAGCGAGTCCTAGGTTGGCTGCAATTTAGCCACTGATATATTTGCAAAAGAAAAAACAATTACCACAAAAAACATTACCAGAAATAAAATATGCTCGGACTAATCCATATGCATCGATGTTAATTTAACAGTACAGTAATTACAATAATTAGAAATACATCTCAACCTCCTGGATGAGGACCATGACCAGGTGAGTGTTGTCCCTGCTCATTCTGCTGTCCAAGTGCAGTTAATGTTTGATGGGCATCTTCAAGGCCCTTGATGTTCTCCCTTAGAATCATAAAATTGTAGATTTGTTAATGTTCTTAATTTTTAAACCATACCTGGCAGCTCTTCAAATATGGAGCGCCTTCAAAGTGGTGGGGTGGCTGTCCTCTGACAGTCCTTCAAAGGGAGGGCTGTTCTTTGTGATGTAGGACTCGTGACCACCTAACAGGTTGTTTTTCAGGGAAACCTGTTCCCCATTACCAATCTTCTCACTGAGGGCCTCTGCAGCTTCCGAGGGTCCTCAGGGTTCCTTGGAATGCAGTTTGAAAACCACTTGTTCTGAAGACTGTTAGAACAGCATTGACTCACAAAGCGCAAATCACCTGAGTGAAGACATCTTGACCTCCGTTTGAAACCCAATTACCCACACAGCCAAACAATGGCATGAAATCTATTTCATATGAGCCCTTAGATTCTCTAGCCTTGTTCCCAGATTGAGATAATAAAGATCTCTCTCTCTCTCTCCTTTTCTTTTTTAAAGAAGGAGCTTGCCTTCCCCCCCTCTCTTCCCCTCCTTTAAATACCCAAGGCATTTCTCCAAATATGTTACTGTAAGTATGTTCCTTGGATAAATGAGTGTTTGTGTAGCTAGATCTCCTTCAGACCTCCACTTGGCAACTGGAGGCCATCTCAGCCCACGAGATGCTTCCAAATACGACGGCTTCCTCCGAGCTGTACAGCAATGTCGTTAGCATCTTGTTTGCTTAAATAAGAGCAGGGTGGGGCTTCACGTCTTGTGCTGGCGAGTGTTTTGGATCCTGCAAAAAGCTTTAAAACTATAGCTTATTGTCTGGTTTGTCTTAGCTTTGGCTTCCAACTCAGACTAATAAAGCTCCTTCTGTAGCTACAGATGTGTCTTTTATTTCTCCCCATCTTGCAAAAGATATTTGTCTGTTTTCGTACAGATCGGCACACACACAAAAGTTTTTAAGGCGATGAGTGCCTGCTTTCATAGAATTAAAAGGACTGGAAGGGCCTCAAGGGTTATCTGGCCGAACGTCTTCATGAAGGCAGGATCTACCAGACCCAAGCAGATGTTTGCTGGAGTACTCTCAGCCCTCAGCACCTTCACTTAACACTTAACACCCAACCTTAAACAAAACAATTAAGCAGCAGTGGATTAGCACACTGTCAGGACCAGTCCTGGGGCATAAACAGCTAGCCTGAACCCAGACTTAAAGGTAAAGGGACCCCTGACCATTAGGTCCAGTCGTGACCGACTCTGTGGTTGCAGCACTCATCTCGCTTTATTGGCCGAGGGAGCCGGCGTACAGCTTCCGGCATACAGTGTGGCCAGCATGACAAAGCCGCTTCTGGCGAACCAGAGCAGCGCACAGAAATGCTGTTTACCTTCCTGCCGGAGAGGTACCTATTTATCTACTTGCACTTGGACGTGCTTTCGAACTGCTAGGTTGGCAGGAGCAGGGACCGAGCAAGGGAACTCACCCTGTTGCGGGGATTCGAACTGCCGACCTTCTGATCGGCATGCCCTAGGCTCTGTGGTTTAACCCACAGCGCCACCCACGTCCCCGAACCCAGACTTAGGAGTGTGAATTTTCCACCCATAGTCACTAGTGGTATTTGCAGAGGCAGATATAGTGGTGCTGCGGGGACAACATACCCTCCAAGTGTCCCAATTTTCCCAGGATGGTCCCAGAATTACAGAAGCCACCCCTGCTTCTGATTTGATCCTGGAATATCCCGATTTCCCCTGCCAGCTCTGCCAGCACCAGGCTCTGGGAGAAGGATCAGCAGGTGCTTGTCCTGACGATGGCGACTGCGAGGAAGCATCCCATTGCCTTTCTATGGTTGCCACTGGCCTCGTCTTTTGGGCAGCTCATAACAGCTACTGGAGAGCTGGCCTTTCCTCACCTTCTCTTGAAGGTGTTGTACATAATCCCTTCCCTCGCACATTTTTTATTTTACAACAATGCTGTGAGGTAGGTTAGGCAGAGAGGTAATTGGCTCAAGGTGACAGCTGTATATGTGTATATGACGTATAAGTGTGCAGCAAGATCAAACGTGGGAGAATCTTCCTGATAACAGAATTGTTGTTCAGTCGTTTAGTCGTGTCCGACTCTTCGTGACCCCATGGACCAGAGCACGCCAGGCACTCCTGTCTTCCACTGCCTCCCGCAGTTTGGTCAGACTCATGCTGGTAGCTTCGAGAACACTGTCCAACCATCTCGTCCTCTGTCGTCCCCTTCTCCTTGTGCCCTCCATCTTTACCAACATCAGGGTCTTTTCCAGGGAGTCTTCTCTTCTCATGAGGTGGCCAAAGTATTGGAGCCTCAGCTTCACGATCTGTCCTTCCAGTGAGCACTTTGGGCTGATTTCCTTCAGAATGGAGATAACAGAATAGAATGTCCCTATTTTCATCGGAGAAATGTTGCAGGGTATGGGGGACCAGTTCAGCCCCACTGGGCATGGAGCTGCAGGGGGCACCACAGCTGTGAGGTGGAGGATGCAGTGAGTATTCTCTGCAAAATGCAAGTGTCTGTAGCCATGTCTTCAAGGTTCTACAGGATATTTGGGGACTAAGTACAAAAGTGATCTTTCTTCAATTATCTCAAAAGTATGTTTCTTTTTCAGTTTCCACTTTGATCTCATTTGCGCTAGGTTAAAAATTAGTAGAATGCATTTACTTTGAGGCAGCATTACTTTACTCTCATCAGCCCCAGAAAGCATCGCCAATGGACAGTGATGGTGCGAGTTGTAGTTCAGCAACATCTAGAGGTTCCTCAAACTTGGTTTAGTTTTGGGTTTGTTTTTTTTACAGGAAAAATGATTTTTTTTGGTCTAATTTCCAGTTGAACATGACAAGAGTGACTTATCTTCCACGAATGCCTAGTAACTATTCCCATATGTACCTGACATAGCATCCTCTTGCTGTTGGGGGTGGGGAGATTGAAAGACTGTAGCAAAAAAATAATTTTTCTGTGTCAGAAATGCTCAGCTTCACCTCTCCTGGCAAGCACTTTGCCAAGCAAGATGACATTTGGGCTTTGTGTTGTGCAATGCCCCCTTTAAAGCTACAGCTACTATGATCGGCACTCCTTCACTTCTCTTGGCAAAGCACGATACTACCTTCAAGAAACCATTTTCTCCCCTCTTTGAATTTCTATAAAGTGGTACCTCGGTTTATGAACCTAATCCGTTCCGGAAGTCCATTCTTAAACTGAAACCATTCTTAAACCGAGGCGCGCTTTCCCTAATGAGGCCTCCTGCTGCTGGTGCTCTTCTACCGTTTGGATTCCATTCTTAGACCAATGTAAAGTTTGCAAACCGGGACACTACTTCCGGTTTTGCGAAGTTCGTAAAGTGAATCGTTCGTAAACAGGACTGTTCTTATACCGAGGTACCACTGTACTGCCTTTTATCATAAGCTCTCAGGGTGGTTCACAGAATAAAATTGTTAATGGTCATTGGCCAGGATAACTAAATAGAACTTCAGTGTTTAGAGATGACTTACCTCTGAGAAATCATGTGCTGGGGGCAATGGGAGGTAATAAAGAAGGCGAGCAATTGAGACCTACTAAGGCAGGCATAGGTAACCTTTGGCTCTCCAGATGTTTTGGCCTACAACTCCCATGATCCCTAGCTAACAGGACCAGTGGTCAGGGATGATGGGAATTGTAGTCCAAAACATCTGGAGGGCCGAAGGTTGCCTATGCCTGTACTAAGGGAAGACTACAGTTGTTGGAGTAGTGCTCCATTTCCCCTAATGGAGCAGCCTCCACTGTTACATGGGTAGTGTTCATTAGCTTCTCCGTGCAACCTTATAAAAGGCAGCATTTGATTTTACCTATTTTGTCTCATTCCACAAAGTCTAAGCAGTAGCAGATGCCTCAAGCTGTCAGAGGGGCAGATCAGTTCTAGTTGGCACCGTTCCCTACCACACATTAGACAACACACTACCATGTTTATTTATGGCTTGATTTGTTCAATGGGCTCCTTAATACCTCCGGCTGTTTCAATAAACTCATGTACCATTTCACTGCAATGAGATACAGTGTCACCTGCCTGCTTGCCCGCCCATCCCCCTGGCCTTCCCGTCTTCATTCCAACCTGTTCCAAGTACTAGCACACCTTCCAGCACACCTGAACCCTCCCAAACAAATTTAAACTTGTACAGTCAATGGCATCTTAATTCAACAGAATCATTAATGAGTCGCTTTAAGAGTAAGCTTGGTTGGTTTTCACATTTCCTGCAGTCGTAATTACTTCTAGCTGAGTTGCCAGAAGCAAACTTGGGGAAGGTGTGGGGAGTTGAGACTGCAAGTTTCACATTAAAGGTATAATCTTATTTATTTATAGGCCTTTACAAGCTGCCTTTTCCCTGCCAGATTGGCACAGCATATAATGAGGACAATAAAACAATATGAAACTACAATGCACAGTTTCTAAAGCATTACACTGTCAAAAGTCCTCCAAGTTCAGAGGGAAAGTGTCATGAAACTACAATGCACAGTTTCTAAAGCATTACACTGTCCTCTAAGTTCAGAGAGAAAGTGCCATCAAATGCCAGTTGCTAGCAGGACAACAGCAAGGGTAGAGGATTGCTTTCATTCTCAGCTAGCTCAGCACCCCTGCAGCATCACAAAAAATACAGGCTTATGTGGGTGATTTAGAAAATATCTTTCCATAATAGTTAGGTGATTACTGATTTTAACTTTTTAATATTGTTCTTATTTCATGGTTTTATGTATAATTGTTGTAAACCATTCTGATCTTTTTAATGAATTGTGGCGTATAAATATTTTTATAACTAAATAAATTTAAATCTAGGTTTCAAGGTTTTTATAGACGCATAGTTTTACAGTAGATCAAACATCCTTTCCTTCCAGATGATCTCCTCTGTGGAGATGGATTTGCAACCACAGGGCTTCTACTCCCCGGAAGTAGACCATGTTGTTTATATTTCACTCATAAATCCCTTGACCTAAACCTTTTATTAATATTATTATTGGTTGCTTTGCCATTTTGGTGATTTCCATTTATTTGTCTTGCCTCCCCACCCCACACATGCCAGCCTCAGCAACTGTCTGTCTCCTGCTCTCTCAACTAGGTGCTGTTATTCCATGACCAGAATTATGGGATCCACTACGAATACACCATTCCTGTGAACTACTCTGCTGAAAACAGAAGTGAGCCAGATCATCATCAGGACTCCTTGTACATATGGACCCATAGCGGATGGGAAGGTTGTAGTGTGCAGTGTGGAGGAGGTAAAGATTTTGTTTGTTTAAAATAATTTATCTAAGGTGGTCCATTAGTGTAGAAGGTCTGCAGAACAAATCAACCTTGCAGCTGTCTTTGTCTCACTGATAGTGTATCTCCAAGGTCTTGGGCAAAGAGGTATTTCCAACCATGCTATCCGAAATCTTTTAAGCAGGAGATACCAGGGATCAATCCTAGGACATAAGAGGAGCCCTGCTGGATCAGGCCAGTGGCCCATCTAGTACAGGATCTTGTTCTCACAGTGGCCAGCCAGATGCCTCTGGGAAACCTGCAAGCAGGCCCCAAGCGCAAGACCACTCTCCCCTCCTGCAGTTTCCAGCAACTGGTATTCAGAATCATTACTGCTTCCAAATGTGGAAGGAGAGTATATCTGTTGTAGCCAGTAGCCCTTTGCAAGAGCAAATTGCATAGTTTAACAAAACACTGTGTGAATAAGTACTTTCTTTTGTCCTGAATCTTCCAACATTCACCTTCGTTGAATGTCCCCAAGTTCTAGTGTTAGGAAAGAGGGAGAAAAACATCTATTTATCCACTTTCTCTATGCCAGGCATAAATTTACGATATTCTGTTGTTGTTGTTGTTGTTTATAAAATTTCTATATCACTCTTCATCCAAGGATCACAGGATGGTTTACAATCTATCATGTCACCTCATACTTACTTTTCCTCTAAACCAAAAAGCCCCAAATGTTGTAACCTTTCCTCATAGGGGAATTCCTCAATCCCCTTGATCAGATCATGCACAGCAAGTTCTCTCCCATCTGAATCCTTAACTGAAGCATTTCAGAATTGCAGAAGAAAAGCTTTTCTAAAACAACAACAGCAACAACACTGTAGCGGACAGACACCAGGCCTCGGAGCTGAGAAAGCCCCATTCCAAATTAGCGAGCTTCAAAGGCTCCCAGATAATGGATATGGGTGAAATTAGATTCAACCGCTCAGAAGAGTTATCTTGCAGTGTTCTTTGGCTTGGAGTCCCATATCCGTGGGGTGTTCCTGGGGAAAGTAGCCATGTTGGAAGATAGGGACATGTTCACAACCAAGTGGAATTCAGCAAACAAGACATTTCTTTTAGTGATATTTATGAAATCAGATTGCCTCTGAAGAAAAAGAAATATTTAGATAATTTAATGAATTAAACACACCGCCACGCCTATTTTGCATCCAGGAGAACGTAAAACCATTGTGTCCTGTACACGGGTTGTTAACAAGACTATGATACTGGTGAACGACAGTGCCTGCCAGCGGGTGACCCGTCCCGAGCCTCAGGTCAGAAGATGTAATGTTCACCCCTGCCAGTCAAGGTAAGGATCCCATTACAGTCGTCATAAACTTTTTCATATATAAAGGTTCATTTTGCATTGTAGTCTCCCATGCACTATTTATGTGATTGTATGAGCATTGTTAATGCAACAGAGAAAGCACAAATAAGGCATTTGTAATAGAACTGAGCCTTCTCGCCAATGCAGGTTTTATACTTATACATTAAAAACTGTTTTAAGCCTCATTTATAACACCCCTGGAGCTGCATGGAACTGCATCCAAATTCCTATTTTTCCAAGCATACCGATCTACAAATGCATTTGTGCATCCTTGCATTGTTCAGCCATAAAGCTCCTTTTCTACTTATTTGGTAGATCTGCACCATCCAACCTCTCTTTTTTACTCCACTGGGGGATATAATGACTTGATATTTTAATTCTTAAACATCATTGATCCAACATACCCAAGGGCCCCTTCTGAGAGTCACACAAGAAAGAGTGTTGGGAGATCATAGAATGTGCATTTTTCTATACATTATTTGGTTGGTGAAGCACATCACAGAATTTGTACAAGTGTGAATTTTGAAAGATGGCTTTTTTCCAATTTTCATATTGCTTCAGGAAGCGCAAATTAGGTAGATTCACCTTTAAATGAAAACTGAATTGAATTTCTCTCCCATCCTTATTTGAAACCCCAGGGGCCGGAGTGTGGGAAAGGATGAGCTAAATGAACCAATGGATTAGTTGCCAGACAGCTTCTTAAAGAGCATAATGTTTCTGGAGCAACACAAAAATGAGAGAGATTAACAGAGCCCTTCCATTCCCTACATTTTATTGTGATCCTTCAATAACATCTGTGTGCCATGTCAGGAAAGCCAGGGCCCCTAAGCCAAGTTGCCTCTGAGATGGTAAACCTGTGCCTGGACTGTACCACTTAAGTTTGCAGGTGGGGGTTTACATAGATAAGTACTCTTCCATTTAGAAAAACGTCTTGCACATAAGAAACTGAATGTATTTGCTACCTCATTCAGAACTAGGCTATAGAGAAGGTATTTGTTGTGGTTGTCTCCAAATCCCCCGGTGACTTGCCAAGTCCATACATTGCTCATATATGGTCAAAGGCTTCTTTTCTTTACTAGGGACTAGCTTAGCCTGGGCAGTCTGCTTGTGTTTAAGGTAGGCCTGTGTCAGTTAGGTTCTAGTTATTTCTGGTGTTAAAATTAATTAAAACTGGTTGGTCTTAAGTGGATGCTTGTCATTTGTGGGGCTGTTCAGCCACCCTCCTCTCAAGCCTTCACGGCAGTATAGATTTCTAGGCAAATTGAGAGAGAAATATCCAAAAGAATCATTGACAGAGAGGTAAACCAGCTGAAGAAAAATAATCTGGTCTCTCTGAAAGAGTTGCAAAAGGGAAAAACACACCATTGAAAAAGATCTGTAAAGCTTGAAACATGTCAGGTCATTCTCTAAAAATAAATCCAGCTTTCCGCAGCACCTTTTGGGCCTTTTCTGTTTGCCATGGAGTGGTCCAACTCTGGTTTCTGGTCTGTGTGGATTTCTAGCCCACCTGAAGAAGCTTCCAGAACCGCCTGCCTGTGCCATTTCTGACCCCCAAACTTTCATTTTCCTTTTGCTAGCCCACAGGCAAAAAAAAAAAAAAAGAGTCAGGGTTGATCCAAGGGTGGTGGGTGGTACCAACCCAGCCCAGTTTTGTTGAGAAAGGGAAGTCTAAATTGCCTTACTCTATGGATTTTAATCCTTCCCCTTAATATAATTCCAGAACTGCTGCTTTTGGTTTGGAGTTCCTGAGCCAATTTAGAGTTACAATAAAGGGCCATTATCCTCGGCTGGACAACTAGAGTGTGCAGCTCTCATTGGTTCGTTTTGCCACAAGCACCATGGCAACCAACAACCACACAGTGCTTCACATCCAAGCAGGCCACGCCTCTCCCTCTCTCCTAACATTTTCTCGCTCCCTCCAGGTCGACCACACATTCACACTTCGGAAGCTGCCAAATGGAAACGTTTTCCGAAGCACATTCTCTAAGTCTCTGTAGAATTTAAATTTCCATTAGTGTTTGCCCACCCAGATATTAGAAATGCATGCTTGGCATACTCTCTGACCGAGAACATCTTAAAGAGACCTTTCTCTTTCACCATGACTATAGTTTATTTTGTTTTTTTAAAGAAAGAAGCTCTGAGTTTGCTTTCAGAGTTCAAGCGGAATTATTATAGCGTTGTTGCAAGAACTTCTCCTGTTTTCTACATTGAGCTCTGCTCTCTGGTTCTCATAAGAGCTACCGCTTTGATTTCTCTGTAGTTTGGCCTGCTATTTGACATTATTGCTACCAGAAATTCACATGGTCATTCTTGGGATGAGATTGGAGAATCTGTCAGTTCCGCTTTTCTGTTTCTCATTTTTCCAATCTTAAATTCAGTAAAAGTCATCAGCATTCTTTAGTGTAAATTTCTCTAAACATACATGTGTTTGTATGCAATTTTGCTTAATATATACACTTTCGCAATGCAGTTTTTGTGTGTTATTTTCACTAATGCATTCCTCAGTATGTTCATTATTGTCTATGCTATTTGGCTAGAGAACTGCATTGCAAAATTTGCAGAAGTGTGTATTTCAGAGAACGACTGTGATTTGGTAGATAAAAATGAGAAATTCAAACTTTATAAGGGATGCTGAGCAGTCAAAGGGGATATGAAGGAGAGAGAAATGATGCCCTACAGACTTTAATCTACTTTAATCTGTAGAATTTCTGCTTTGTCTCCTCATCCCCCCATCTGAAATTTGGCCTGTGATGATGGGAGGCGGTCCTGCTGTGCCACCTTGTTGTTAGTGGCACTGTTAAAAAATCTGCTTATGCTGTTTAAGTTGGTGTATTTTATTTTTAATGCTGGACTTTTAACATGCCGTGCAATTTGTTGTTTTAATTGGCATATTCCTATTTATTGCATTTATTGTATTTACTTCTGATGCTGATCTGAGAGCTGGGTCTGAAGAGTGGCAAATGAAGTTTAAATAAATAAAAACCAACCAGCATAAACAGACATTCTGATTAGTTTTCTCTAAGAGAGAATTTTCAGCATCCCCAGCAAAGTGTCATTCCCAGAATTCTTTGAGGAAGACTAGAATACTTGGAATTGCCGTACTGAAAACAATATTAGTGTTTGAGTTCTACAAACCATCTGAAAGAGTTCCATGTTCCAATAATTCCACTCAAAACTGGTGAGAAAATTATTTTTTATACTTTATCAGCAATTTGAAGATCTCACTCCCCTAGCCAAACACTTTCCTGCCTCTTTTTTCTTCCCCCTTTGTAAAATCAGTTTTATAAAAACATTTTTAAAACGCTCATTAAAAAAATTAGAAAGTGGCGCTAAAAAGATGGTTGACACAGTGTCGGTGTAAATTTGTCCTTAACAAAGTTAAAACTCAAGTTATTCCACAACCACCCCCGTGCGTGTTGCAGCTTTGTACCGAGTTCATGAAAGGACACTTATGCCGGACCTGGACAAGAGTGCAGTCTGGGTTGTCCATTTTCCCATCTGTCATTGTACTGAATTCCTGGCTCGTCTCATGCCCGTCTTCCTGTTTCCTTACAGACCACCGAACTGGAAAAGAAAGTGAGAGGCTGTCTCCTTTCTGATTCCTCCCATTCCTTTCCCCTTTAAGTGAGGTCACAGCCTCCTTTTTCTCAGGACTGTATGGTGTGCGGTCGAACTGTCAGTTCTGGAGGCAAACAACCAGGGTGGCTCCTACCAAGTTTTTCACTCCTTTCATCTCTACTGTTCTTCGCTCTCAATCCTTTTCTCTCCTTTCTTTGCCAATAGCTATAGATCACAGGGAGATTACAATGCCCTTGCTAGACTTAATTCAGCAGGGCCTGGACAGCAGCCATGCCTGCTCCTGGAGAGGACAGTAAATTAGTAAAGCAGTCCCTCTCTTTCCCATTCCCAGCTTCATCTCACCACCCCTGTCTGATTGGGACTTTCAGTCAATGACATATTTAACAACACATCTGTAATTTGTGCTCCAGTGCTTAAATAGTGGCCTGTGGGTGTCCTTTTTATTGCATATTCATGATTATTTGTGCTCATGATGCTATCAGGGCTGTCACACGGGTTCCCACTTTCATTATGGTTTGCACCTGCAAAAGTTCTGGTGCAGTCACTCTGCTTCATTTCCACTCAGTGCATTTCAGTGCATTTATTTTTTATATATACAGTGGTACCTTGGGTTAAGTACTTAATTCATTCCGGAGGTCTGTTCTTAACCTGAAACTGTTCTTAACCTGAAGCACCATTTTAGCTGATGGGGCCTCCTGCTGCCGCCGCGCCACCGGAGCACGATTTCTCTTCTCATCCTGAAGCAAAGTTCTTAACCCGAGGTACTTTCTCTGGGTTAGTGGAGTCTGTAACCTGAAGCGTATGTAACCTGAAGCATATGTAACCCGAGGTACCACTGTACCACAAAGTTTCTGGTTTATTTTTGTTTTGCTTTTATGGTGCTGTAGCCTCTCCAGACAACAGTATTGTGGCAGCATGGGGGAAGCATCTCAGGGCAACTAATAAAGCAGAATAATTTCAGCACTGCAGCACTGTGTGTGTGTGTCAGTAACATGTTGCAGAATACTCCCAGGCTTAAAAAAAAAATCAGTCTGGAGGGGCCCTCAGTGCCTTGGCATCAGGTTGCAAAGATTAGTTTGGTTGGGAGGCAAATCAAGTTGACAGGTCCGAAAGACAGACCAGGATTCCAACTTCCTGAAAAAAGGGTGCTGTGATTGCCACCTCCCTCCCTCTCCTCATGCATTTTTCATGTTCACACAGGGCTATTGTTCCAGCTCTTCACTTTGACGAGGAATTCCTGTAATTACAGAGGGGATCTTCCTCTGTGACAGGTCATAGGAAGCACTTAGCAGAGATGCCATATAGGCATTTATCAAATACATTCCTCTTTCCTTGATTCTTCCCATGACCTCCAACTCAGAGTCACTCTCAAAAAGTTCCACTTCTGCTGCTCAGGTCTCAACAAAATAGCAATTAGTTATATGGGGTGATTGGAAGGGCAGACTGACAAAAGGGTCTGTGGAGTCCATATCTCTGGGGACAAGCAGTTATATTTCACAGCACCTGGGAATGTAAGGCTACAGGATTTTACATTGTGAGCTGATCATAATGTGAATCTTATTTGCAATGTGATGTAGGTAGCTGTGTACTATTTGTGTCAATTGTTTGAACAAAGCAGATGACATAATTGCCAAATGTCCCCTGGTGGTTCTGTTTTCCTCTTCATACTCTGACCTCATCACTCCTGAAATCTCCTCTTGTTCTTTTTACTTTTCTGATGGTTTTACCCCTCTTGATGGTTTTAGGTGGCCTGCTCGGATATCACAACTAGACGCAGAGGAATCCTGGCCCCTCTTGGATTAGCTCATGCCACAGAAAAGCTAGCATTAGCAGCTGAGCATCAAAGGGGGCATGGAGACCTTTAGAACTGGATATTCAGTGCCCATGAGCAACTTTGCTTCAGTTAAACAGCATAACAATGGTCTGCAAGCCACAGGCTCCCAAATGACCCTTGGTATAAATGACTTGGGTGGTTTTTATACAACTTACTTGCTTAATGAAAAGAGACGGGCAACACTTGCTGTTATGTGATTATATTAACAACAACAACAAAAATGCTTGTTTAACCTGGAGGTAGGCTGTATGAATTGTGTATTGCTTTGTAACAATTTGTTGGGTCTCTGGACTGTAATAAAGATTGTTGTTGTTGTTATGTGATTATATACTTCTCATTAAGGCACTTAAATTGCAATCAATTTGCATCACTAAACAGGTATACAGATCTAGCTCAAGGATTTGAGCTGCAGAAAGAGGGCACCCCAGAACCCCCTACAAGTTTAGTTCTGAGGTGCATTGCCTGTAAGGGGAACTGGCCATGCCAAAAGCATTCCTGTCTTTAAACCAGCTTACACAAGGTAGGAGGACACTTTTATCTGGGCCCAAGGAAGAAAGGATTAGTAATACGCATCTAGTGTTCTTCAGTAACCCAGACTTGTTGTCCTACATAATCTTCCACCACCAGGAAATTGCAGGGGTTCTTTTTGTCCAGATTTAAAGCCTCTTAATTCTGCATTAAAAATGAAGGGTTTCAAATAATAAAAACCTTGGACACAAGTTGGTGGGGCCTGACACCCTCCCAGGGTAGGCACAAGAGGCAGTGATTGATGAGTGGCTTTGTATAAATGCCTTGTGCCTCAAAGGGCTGTGTCCCTAATGAATCCTTTTTCTCTCTTTTCTTAACAGGTGGGTGGCTGGGCAGTGGAGCTCTTGCTCTGCAACCTGTTCCAAAGGCATTCAGATCCGAGAAGTGGCATGTGTCTATCAGCTGCAGAATGGCACCTATGTCAACACTAGGGATCTTTACTGCCTCGGCCCGAAGCCGACACCAATACAAAGCTGTGAAGGTCGAGACTGCCTTTCCATATGGGAAGCATCGGAGTGGTCTAAGGTAAAGAAGTCTTGGTGGGAGGAAGAGGACAGAAATTCCACAATAAAAACCCCAAATTGGAGTCTATAAAACATGAGCAAATCCTACTTCACGTGATCCATAATTAATCTAATTTTAAAGATAAATATCAAGGGGGACATTTTGTGGAAGTCTTAAAATTAATATTTTTCCCCAGGCTATTAAAAATCAGTGTTTTCTAGCCAGGATTAGCCAATGTGGTGCCCTCCAGATGTTGTTGGACTACAACTCCCTAATCCCTCTGGCCACTGCCTATGCTGGCTGGGGCTCATGGAAGTTGTAGTCCAACAATACCCAGAGAGCAGCACGTTGACTACCCTGATGTAGGTGCTTTTCATGCCCCAAATAGTACCTGCAGAAGCAGATTCCCAGGATCCACTTCCAGAACCTAGGGTTGGGACATATCCAATGGCACCTTCTGAAGCAGCTCAAGTTGGTGGGGTTTGCCCCCATGAAGAGGAGGAAGAAGAAGAGTTTGGATTTGATATCCCGCTTTATCACTACCCTAAGGAGTCTCAAAGCAGCTAACATTCTCCTTTCCCTTCCTCCCCCACAACAAACACTCTGTGAGGTGAGTGGGGCTGAGAGACTTCAGAGAAGTGTGACTAGCCCAAGGTCACCCAGCAGCTGCATGTGGAGGAGCGGAGACGCAAACCCGGTTCCCCAGATTACGAGACTACCGCTCTTAATCACTACACCACACTGGCACCTGCATCCATACTATAGCATATGATGAGTTTGAGTTCACAAAAGCTTATGCCATTATAAATTTGTTCGCCTTTAAGGTGCCAGAAGAATCTTTTATTGTTTAGGTGGTTCAAGAAGTACATTCCAGGATTTTCTTCAGGCCAGCAGCACACATATAACACCATGCAGGGGGTAAAACTAGTCACCACGCAAGAGAGCCAAATGCTCTAGGTGTATTCACAGAGTCGTTTTCTCAACACACAGTGACTCTGTATGTATTAGGAAAAGCAGGCAGTTATTAATGTAAGACCACTTTTAGTAACATGGGTCCAATGCTTCTCCCCACTGCCCCAATGTTCTTCTGCTGTATATCTACCAAAACTTGCCATTTTGGCTTGTTTGCTCAAGGTTGTATCAATGAGTCTTGTGATTGCTTTTAGGAAAATAGATTTTAGGAATATCGCTGCCAAGAGGTTATTTCCACAAAAGTAATATTGTGACTTTTAACAACATTGACTCTGCATAATCTTTTACGATGTAGTTCATATTTTGCAGCTGGCATTATTGAGTTCCTATCAAAAAAAAACTTTTAAAGATGTTTTCTGGCTCTTTCACAGGCTTAGAGAGGTGAAGGATCAGCTGAATGTTTAATATAATGAGTGCCTTGATTGCTTTCGGACTCCTGTCTAAATTAAATGAGCAAAGCTCCTTAAGTGTGTGCATGGCATTGGGTTTCAGGGTTAGCCAATCCTTAGCTTCTAAGTATCTGCATCTTGAATTTGTTCCACAAATATGAATTGTGCTATGTGAGAGATTCATCAGATAAAGGATCCAGCTAAACCACTTCTTTGCAATACATGGTTTTTAATAACGTTAAAGTGAGAGGTGTGTTTTCCTTTAATCAATTTTGTGTCTTGATTGGTAAATGTAAACAAGTTGTTTTGTTAAAAAAAAGTCTCAGATGGGCATTTGCTGTTAATTTACCTAATGCTACATGTTGCTGAGAAGGAGAATAATTGTTACGTCATTTTAAGTGTATTGTACATGGTTAATACAGTTTACTTGTAGCATGAATAATCTTAAAATGAACTAATAATCTCAGTGGTGCTGGTGGAAATTCCTGTATATTTCACATGAATTGCTTTGGGTTTTTCTGGCTGCCCAACTTGAATATAATGCAAAATGTAATCTGGTTTTTAGTCAAACTATTACGTTCTTAAATCATAAAGCGAAGGTTCGGTTTCATTGTGGAGAAAAATAATGAATTCTTACTTTAATGGGGCACAGTAGCAATTTTTTGAGATGATGCATTGCTCCACCACATTTAGTGGACTGACATATATGAAGAGGAATGTGTGGATCTGGTCCTACTTTATATAGTCATTAGTAAGATTCCCTGCTTCTGCTTTCCAGGGCCTTTTAAGTTCTGGTTATGTTTAAGGGAAAGGGCCATAACTCAGTTCCTTGCATGCTGACAGCCCTGGTTCAGACCTTGGCATCTCCCATTAAAAGGATCTCAGGTTGCGGGGCTGAAAAAGACCTTTGTCTTGACTACATACATTAACAAATGAAATGCATCAGCCCTGCTAGTACCAGTCTGAACAAATCTGCTTATACTTCTCGTGCATAAACTTTCCAAAAGCCAGACAAGTTTCCAGCAGGGCTGACTTGTCACCCCAAGTGGTTGGGCACAACTCTCCGCTCGCACACATTTACACAATCCAAGAGGGTCGCATCAGGATTCCTTTCCACAGGTCAGAATATGTATTATATTGTAAGTCACTTTGAGTTTGCTTTTTATTTTTTAAAAAAGCAACTCATAAGTACAATCATGGAAAAGAGAAAGAAGAAGTACCATGGCCAGCTCCATAGGTTAACAAAGCCGGGCATTTGGCAAGGCCCTAAGACTTGCAGAAGGCCCACTGACCCTGCTGCCTACCATTCTTATATTGCACAGAATAACCAGTAAGTTCTGATGCAGCAAAGGAGAATTCTCAGTTTTCATGTCCTGCCTCTTCTGACTTGAGGAGACCTACAGAGGGTGCCGTGCCCAAGGACCAACAGAATCCTGGAACCAACACTGCAAAGCTTAGAGTTCAGATAAGGAACTCAATCAGAAACTTGTGCCCCAACATTTTCTGCTATACTGCAAGGCATTTTGGGGCACATCTCTGTTATCATATGCTGAGAATTTTCACATTCCCCAAAATGACACTTGTTGCGCCCAGTGATTACAGTGCAGTCTGGCTGGTCCTGATTTCCTGTTTTAGAGGAGGAGACTAAAGCAGCTGGCAAGCCTTTTGAATCCTTTCCTGTCTTGTGTTTTAATGCTGCTCCACAGCACCAAGTTATCCAGCCTCCCTCTCTTTTTTTGAGGATGGTTACAGCCGGCCACTCATTTCGAGACACAGCTGTTGAGTTTCAGCATCCTTACAATCTTAAGGAATCTTTCCCAGTAGCCAGCAGAATTCTATTCTTGCTTTCACACTATGAAGATGTTACTTTCCATAAGGGGGTCATGCAATGAGCAGCCATAAATTAAGTGGAAGACTTCCCAGATTTTCTTCTTCTTCAATAAGTCACTTTACAGTTGCTGTGAAGTATTTCAAAGCATGTCTGTTTGCTTGCCAGCTCATAAACACTTGTCATTCATGTCCTTAACAGGGTCAACAGGTCATGACTGCCTGGATTGTATTTTTTTAAGACGATTAGACAGGCATGCTGAGATCTGCCCGTTTATTGTAACGTATATCAAGTTGAGTCCTGTTTCCATCCTAGACCCCCTAAATAGAGAAACTTATTGGAGCGCATTCAAAAGATCTCATGGAGTATCTGATATCTCCAACTATTTATTCAGTGTCAAGTCCACAGTTTCTTCTGCGCTGATCCCTTGAAGAGTGTGTATGTGAAGATTGATTCTCCAGAAAAAGTTAGCATTTTTATTAGGACTGAGCAGTTTCGTGAACATTTTCCGCAGTGTCAAAAAGCACCATAACTGCTTGGCAATGTTGCTTACTCGCTTATTTGACAAATATTATCCTGAATAGTCTTTGTTTGCCTTTAGTGACATCATCATATTACTGATTGGCTAGAAATACTCATGTGACAAGGGCTGGAAGCATTACTCTCACTCTCTTTTTTCATAATAATTTTTATTAGTTTTCAATTAGTCCAATAATAACCTTATTATAACAATACCAATCATAATACAATTATTAATATTAATTGTTCAACACCAAATTATATAATTTAGATAAAGTGGCCCCCCGCATGCTAAATTTGATGGTTTGATGATTTTCTTTATTTCTGCATTCCAAAATCTTATTCATTTCAATTGCATTCCGGTCATAATAATCCCCTATATAACAACTGCAATATTAATAACTCCTATTTGTGTTGACGCATCAAATGATTTGTAAAACTACAAGTGAGGAACTCAAACTATATCCTTGTTCTTCCTGTGTGTGGAAATTATTCTGTCCATGGTGTTTCTTGCTGTCCTTGTAAGAAGTTACGTCTTTCTTTCCCCTGGTTGTTGCTGTTATCCGTCATGCCTTGGGTGAAGCTGATATCCCATTGTTGTTTCAGAAATTTCTCCATTGCTCTGTCCCGTGCTTCACAGACTCCTTTCATCATTCCTTCCAGCTCAAGATATATAAGCAATTATACTTCCAATTAAATTAAATTAAATTCCAAGTCCTCTTAGCGTTATTCATTTGACTTTGTAAATAATAAAGGGGAAGAGTCAGCTCTAAGTTTCCATCATAAACCTTTTGCAAAATAGAGCTTCCTTCCCTTTTCCCTTTTTTTTACACACACAGTTCCGTTTGATGTTATATTCCATATTTATAATCCAATTTCTTCCATACTCGCTTGTACAAATATAATCTAAACTAACATTCAGAGGAGGGTTGCTGAATCATAAATGTAGAGAAGAAAACTTTAAATAAAGAAACCATAGGCTCCCCTCCCACCCCACCGTCTTGCACTGAATGAAGTCTTATCCAAGTTCAAACCTTAAAGTCTTTGCAGTTGGTTTGTTCCGCAGTTTGTGATCCCATCTCTTCTAGCACGCGCCTGTACTTTAGTCCAATTAAGCTCCAATTAACAGGAGAACCTCTACTTCTTAATGGCGACTTTGGAAGGTTTTCGGCAGGCGAAGTGCTTTTGCACTCAGCGCCTCCCGGAACCCCACATTTCTTGCTGGAGCGAGAACCAGGTACCGAGACAAACTGCAAGTGAAGCCTGTTTCCCCACCCCCTCCATCACTGGGGGGAATTTGCAAGGAAATTACCCTCAACCATCCTTGCTTTTCCTTTGCCAACAATCTCCTGCTATTGTGGGGGAGAGTAGAACCAGAAGCCAGCATTACTCTCACTCTTAATGAGCTGTAGTTGCTCTCTGTGATGTCAACATGTAAGCCAATCTGGTTGGCTGCATAGTGTTGTGACCTCACCACATTTAGTATATGAGCTTTGATTGGCTAGAACTGTCCTATAGAATTCTCAACCGAAACTAAATAAACAAAATACCAAAAAGCAGAAGAGGGAAACAGGGAAAACAAAGTGAATACATTGTGCATGATCAAGGGTATGGGTGAAAATATTTTATCTCCCTGCCCCAAAGCTAGAAATTTTGGCCTGAAAAGCGGAACAGGCAATCACTTGGCACAGTTCTAGATTTTATCTTGATGGATACATTGATGGATTTTCAATGTATGTGGCAAGACAAGTAACATAGTCTTTGGCAGAAGAGGAACTGCGGCAGAATGGAAACAGTACTGCATGTGACAAATAAAGGGCAGAACAGAAAACAATGCTTCTTACATCCCTAGTTGCATGTGTTCAGGAAGGCCTATGCAAAAGCTTCTGCTTATGAGTAGGCGTTTCGTGTGAACAGGATCCCTGATTGTGTGGATGTCCCAAGGATACAAAGCCCCTATGTAGCAAGCAGGAGCTTGCACTGTGCATAGAACCATGTGCACATGTGGTTGTTGAAAGAAGCTGTGACATCGGGGACAGAGCTAAATATTCAGCCATGTTCCACACTTTTCCCTGCTAATGCCCTACACCAGAAGTTCACAAGCTGATCTGTAGCCCGCCAGTGATCCATGAACTTGAATGAGGTGGTTTCATGATGTGTCCACATTAAACATTTGTATTGGTTTTATGTGTTTTTATTGTTTCCTTTATGTCACAGATTGCATTACAGTTTGAATTTAAAATGTGGCTCACAATATTTTAAGTCTGAAATATTATTAAGCTCAGTTTTCCTTCCAATATTATCTGCCAGTCAAACTAATTTAGAATCAGCCCTGGTGTGTAGCATACTCCCCCCCCCCTTGTTTTTGCACATTTAAAATGAAGGTTTAACAACTGTATTGGTGAAACTCCACCTCACCCCATAATGGGGAATGTATTGATAACAGTGCTAGTTGTCTTCATACACACCATACATTTAAAGCATGCACACACACTGCAGCACACTGGGAACTGCAGTTTGCTTCTCACAGGTTTATAATTCCTACCCTTAACAGATGGCAGTTTCCAGGATTCTTGGTGTGTGTGTGTGCTTTAAATGTCCTTTGAAGATATGCTGTGGACATAGCCTTGGATGGATGATGGCTAGAGTTAATGTCAAACGTCAATCTCCCACCAATATGCCCACAATCTCCCAGTCAAAATTTTATGAAGATTCTTGTGAGAAACATTTGGGAAAGCAGAACTCTTTACATCTGAAACCACTTAGGAAAAACTTGTTGGCAACAATAGATTTTTGCTCCGTTTTCGTCCAAGTCAGTTTTCATCAACAACCAATGATTGTGCCCATTGCTTTGCAGTGCTCGTCCAACTGTGGGCAGGGGAAGAAGAAGAGAACTGTCACATGCACCAACCCCCAAGGGAAGTGTGATTCAGCCACTAGGCCGAGGGATGAGGAAGAGTGTGAGGATTACACGGGCTGTTATGAGTGGAAAACAGGAGACTGGTCCAAGGTAAGGCCATGCTTTCAGCCCTGTATGGAGCCTTAATTCAGTAGAGCAGATATGGCCACTGGTTATCTCTTAGTGACTGTTAACTTTTAGAGAGACCACAAGTCTGTGATGGAGCACATCATTTCCATCCAGAAGGTCTGCCTGAAACCCTGGAGAGCCCCTGGAAATAACTCTACCAACCTCCATCTGTTCCACCACTGCCATTGCAGACGTTCTTCTTTGCTCATCTTAACTCTGTTTTCCAAGGGATCCCTGCTTGAGAATTCTGGTATCCCAGGATGCTCAGGGTGCAAGAGGTTTCCATGGTGTTCTCTTGGCCCAAAACAGCCACACAGAAGCAGGTTTCCTACACAGAATGGAAGGTGTGTCGACAATATTGGGCTGGGTGGACTAATGCAGTGTTTCCCAACCTTGTGCCTCCAGCTGTTTTTGAACTACAACTCCCATCATCCCTGACTAGCAAGACCAGTGGCAAGGGATGATGGGAATTGTAGTCCAAAAACAGCTGGAGGCACAAGGTTGGGAAACACTGGACTAATGATCCGAGTTGGCATAAAGGCAGCTTCCTGTGGCTCTAAGCCCCTCTACATTTCTTGCTCTCATGTTTGCAGAGGGAACTGTATACACTAATCAAACTGAGGAATCAAAGCTTTTACATGTAGTGCAATATAGCTAAGGAAACACTATTCCCATTGTCTGAGCCAAGGAAATCCAAGGTAAATCATAGAAGCATGAGAAAAATGTAGGAAAATTCAGTTTAGCTCTGTTAAAACTAGGGTTGCAAGCATGGATGGAATCTTCAAGAACAGGGTGGAGACGTTGATGGCGTGCCCATGTGAAATTATGCCCCCATAGCTGCTTTATGGTTTCCAAACTCTTGATACTGTGCCCATGTATTATTAGCCACTGAGCCAAGGAGAGGAAGCTGTTCCTCAAAAACCCATCTAGTTAGGAGGACTCGAAATAAATTCTCACAATAGTTTATTGTCACTTCCAAATTCTCAAACTGGGATTGAGCCTACCCCATTGGAACAGGAATTGGTATATTTGGACTGAGATCAGCAACATACATATAAGGCCAAGAAGCCACATTCGTAAATGGGTCTACGGACGGCATTTCATTGTTGTGAGGCATGCTTGTTACTTGAATATGTTGGGGATTTTCCTTTTGCAGAGGGTGACTGAATAAATGAGCAGTGAAGTAACAGGAGATGAGCCAAGAGGGAGAGGATTAAAATATGGCTCCCTCTGTGTGGATTGGTGGATCTCTTTAAGATCTTTCCTTCAAGGCCGACCGGAGCACCTTATAAGAAGGCCACATAGTTCAGACGTTCTAACTTTGGCATTCTGGCTATGCTGAAACACTTACTGGGGCAGCTGCAGTACAAGCACATCCCTGGGGCTTCATATGATTCCTTTATACATGGGCAGTATGTGACCATATAAATCTGGTTTTGTGGAGTCAAGCAAATGTTAGGTTAAGAAAGTAGAGACTATAGTTAGTGTCACAGATTTACACCATTTTGTTTCAGCTTTAATTCCCAGGATCCTTTGACAGTTTTGTTCAGTAAGGTGCTGAGAATTCTGTGGTAGAAAGCCAAAAGTTATCCCTTTCCAGAATGCAGTGCGGACAAATATTCTGTTAATTTTCCCTTAGTGTATATCAAGTCCCTTTACGTTACTAGATTCCATGTTTTCACAAGGAACAGGAATTTCCCAGGAATATTGTATTCTACCTTGGTCATATAAGCCTGTGGAGGGGGGAGGGGAATATTTAAATACTTATTTTGTATATCAATGCATCTATTCCTAGACTTATCCTCAAAATACACATTTTTGTATGCATGTCTGCACCTTTTTCTTGAGCCAAGATCCGTATTGCAAGATTTGAAGAAGTGTCAAATCTGATGGATAGTTGCTTTAATGTCTGTGCATAGTCTGGAAGCTGCAAATTAGGTCAATTCACTTAAAAATGCAGTCTGAACAAAATTCTCCCCCATCTCTAGTTAATAGACATATCTTATCTTTGCCCACCTAATGGTCTTTAAACAAAGAAGCTGCTTTTTCCAAAAGAATACACAGAATGCAATTAAAAGCAGACAGGTTCAGTAGCTTCACCTTAGTTTCCAAAAACTAGAGCTGAATTATGTTGTTAGTGACTGAATTCTAGCAAAAAAACACACACCACCTAGTCCATTCTGGGTGAAATTTCCACTTTTAACCTGTTGACAGCAAGGGTGTTTGTGGTCTCAGGTGGCCAAAGTAAGTGTGACTATGGGTCCCTGCAGACTGGTGTGTTATTCTGGGTATATTCTGCAATAATTATTGACACTGACTGAGGGTCAGTGTTGGATTAATTCTGCTTTGTTACGTATTTATTCTACAATGCTTCCCTACGTGACCACATTATTGCTGTCCAAAGAAGCTGATGCACAACAAAAGGGGATCAGTAACCAACCGTAGAGCATTTGTGATATGAAAAGTTATAGGATTTCAGTAGGAAATTGCAGGATATGCACTGATTGGAAATGAATTAGTATTACTGCTCCCAAACCTCTGCAGGCACAAAGAGCATTGAAAGCAGGGTCATGTATGACTGCCCTGATAGCATCATGAGCACAAATCATCATATGTACAATAAAAAAGGATGGCTGGAGGGGCCCTATATGAACTTGCATCTGAGAGAGGGCCTTCTCACTTATTCACTCCCTGCTAAGCCAATATTTAGGTCACACTGAGAATTTCTATCACCAAATGTTTGGAATTTTGAACATTATATTATTCATAACCTGGAACATAGAACCAGAAGGGCCAGCCAATATAAACAGCCACTGTGTATTAACAGGTGAAATAACATTTTTTGAGGCTTACAAAACAAAAACCCCTCCTCTTCAGGCTATGAATTGACCATAGAGTCTATTTTTCAGAGTGGAGCATATGAAATAGTTGCAGTGCTCTCCAGTTTTCCCCTTCGAACTGTCATAAAGCAGGATTTGAAAAAAGTACAATGACTGACAGCTGTGGAACTATGGCAACCAAGGATGGTGCAACTGGCAGCTTATGTTTCTTTCATTTCTGGGCAAGAGCGGAATTCAGCTGATACTAATTCACTGAATTAGCCCTTGGGGCCCTCAAATAATTATCTAAAGCCATCGGTCTCCTATTTCATACTGAAGCCTATGGGTGGAACCCAATGGCTGTTGCTTTGCTGATGGAACACATCCATCAGCAGAAAGAGGGAGGGGGCCATTTTCAGTCATTCCTCCTCCTTCCTGGCAGATAGTCTATATCTGGCTGCAGCCCCCACCCAGTCTGTTCTGGAGGGTTAGGGGACTATCCAAGAAGCCATTTGCATGCAGCCTGCTTACAAACACAGCCTTGAGAGCAATGCTCATCCAGGAAACTACAGGGCATGTCTCTAGTTAACAGTAAACATTTATATATAGCTTCACAATGTTAAAGGTGGTTCAAATTTAACCGCCACCCTATAGGCAAGTACTATTGTCACTGTAGGATCTTGCCTCAGGCTAGGGGTGTAAGAAGGCACAGATTTCTGTTCTAACCCATGTTCATTGCATGCAGAGCTGTGTCCGTTCCACTGCAGTTTGGCTTCTGACAAAATGTCATTCTGTCTGCTGTGGTGGAATTCTACATAATTAATTGCAATGAATTGAATAATTCCACGGCATCCCTTTCCGTGCAAAGGAAACACAATGCAAAAGTGGGGGTGGGGGTGCACATCTTCAGTTTTGTATCACTTGCAGACAAAAACAGCAGCAGCAAATACCGATCATGTTCTCTGGATTGATTTTTGTTCCGGACGTGGGACAAATAAGCAAACGTCATCCATTTCCACTCACACTCTCATTTCCATTTCCACTGGATTCCTCCACCAACTCTGCCTAAGGACCACCTAGTAATTTTCATGGCAGAGAAAAGAGTTGAATCAGGGACTTTCCAGCTCTGACTCTTATCAGCCACTAACACTTTGCTACTGCTAGAAGACTTTGCTTTCCTAGGAGACTGGAGAAGGCAGAGCAGAAACTGGAGGCAGAATCACAATGTGCATTTATTTACTTATTTCAAGTAGGAGATAAATAGCTATGTATTTAAGGCCTGCCTATGATAAGCAAGCAGCCCCCTTCTTTTCCCCCCTCGCTGGGTGGCAAGCATGGGAATCTGGCAGAATGCCCATGTTCCATGCCCCCACTCCAAGCTGGGAAACGAGTCTTACTTTCCATGTCACACACCTGACTGGCAGTGCCTCTCCACGAGGCCCCCCGGGGACCCATATCCGCCTAGAACACATTTTGAAGCATCAGCAAGAACTTGGCAAACGAGAGAGCATTGAGAAGGCTCCTGCTGCCGCTGCCAAGTCATGTCACTCATGATAAAGTGCGTTTGAAAAATTGCCTCTAGCCACCTGCCCTCCCCTGCCGTGAGGAGCTGCCAATTGCTTCTTCGGCATCCTTGTTTCTGCAATCCTGGCTGCAGGTATCCATCCCAGTAGGACATGTGAAACCTGGGGAAAGTCTCATTTCCTGTCAGAATAACCTCTCTTTTGTGCTGTCCCCCCAAGATGTCTTCTGTGCGGGATTATCAGTCATCCATCATTGTGGGAGTAATGAGAGACTTCTAATTGCAACTGAATCATTTTGGCAAGATCAAGTGTAAACCATATTCTATAAAACCAGGGAGAATAAAGAGAGAGAAAACAAAAGGAATCCAAGGTACGCAGGGGGAAATTTTACAGATTACGTTCTGTTTTAGCTGTTGCCACAGGTATAAGAGCCATCATGACATAGAAGCTAAGATACTGGGCAATAAAACAGAAAGGCCCCATTAAAACATCACAAACTTGTAGCCTTCACCAAAGCCTCTTTGCTCATTCTCAAGTCACATTTTTTCATGCAGACACCCATTAAACCAGGGGCTTGGAACTCCTATCAGCCCCTGCAACTATGGTCCAAGGCGTGGGATTATGGGAGTTGTAGTTCAGC